TGTATGAACACAGTTTCTCAGAGGTAGAATGACTTAATGATTTTACTCTTCAAATAGTCAAAGTTGTTCAAATTCAGAATGTGTGGTCTCAAGACATACTGTGTAATCTCTCAACATTCTATTTCATGCTTAAAAATAAATGATGATCTTATACATGTTATGCCCCCCAAATAGTGAAGCCATCTCATTGTATTTTTTTTTTAACACAGGCAAAATGTTCAATTTAAAAAGAAGATACCATGCACTTTTACCGTACAACCTGTGTAATGTTTCCCCTTCTCTTTAGAGGGTTTGTTTCATGTGGTTTTTTTGATGTAGTGTTCATTTTACACAGGTTCCAAGATCATCTGGGTGTCAGTCAAGTGGGGGAAGGGTAGTAACTGCAGATAAACTAGAAAACTGAGCAACTAACTGCTCAGATGCTTGACGTATTGCTGAAATGAACAACTGGTGATTTTTGCTTTGAACGGTGGTTTAACGTTAAACCAAGTTTGGGACAACGTGCAGTTCACCATCTTTGTTGCTCCACATCCTCTGAGAACGTAGCTCATATCCCAAAGGAAAAACTGTTTGCCACATGTAAGTTTGTTTCTCACTTCACGTAAGTCTTCGTTTTAATCTTTTCAGATTGTAACATTGTCTCGTTTTGGTTTCCTTTTGCTATAAAGGCAACAAAGAGATTTTGTGTTTAAAATTTGAAGACACCAGATACAGTTTCTCAGAAAACAGGAAGTTTGTAGGGGGTTGTCAGTATTTGTTATTTTTAACATAAAATTGTTTGATCTTTTCCCTAGCATGTGGTCTAGAAATTATTCTAATATTCAGAAGTGCTTCTATTACCTTCTTCAGAGCATTGATTTATTCTGGATACTTTCACCATTCTGAAATAATTTTCCTCCCTCGAGTCATGTAATGGAGATCTTCATTTCGTTAATGAATAGTGTGATTGGGCAGGTGCTCCAGTCCTCACTAAAGCAATAATTCCCACAGCACTGACAGACATCTTGACTGTGTAGGGGTCTGTAGAATGTGGTGCAGGAAAAGTGGGACAGGAGTAGTCGGCTCTGTAGCAAGTCGGGGTCCTGTTGGCAGGTGTGCTGCTGAACCAGGCGGTGGCCCTACCCACGTAGACGCCAGCGTGTTTGGCTGGTTGGGATGCTGGTAGCAACAGTCCCAAACTGATCAGTCACGTCCATTTTCAGGTTCTTTTAATGTATTTTTCCCTTTTCCCACCAACAATAGTCTACATCGGTTCAAATAAACGTTCCCTCAGAAGATGGTAGTGCTTTGGCTTTATGTATATATAGGGCTAAAATGGTGCTTTTGTAAGGAAACACGAGGCCCTCTTTCACTGTTTAACTATAAACTGTACACTAAATTTAAAGTAAAAGGTGATTAAAACAGCATTGTCACTTTTAAATTACGGAGTTTTAATAGTTTGAATCTTCAAAGCCACTGTTTCTTTTAATATAGTTTTTCCAATTCCCCCCCCCGCCATCTAGATTTCTCAGAAACAAGAGGCAAAACATTTTAAAGAGAATCAGGTGAAACAAACTGATGGATCCTGTTATGACAGGTGCTTGGTACCTCCCAGGAGACCACTGAAAGGACTACCCAGAGAGGGGAACTTTGAAACACAAACCCCATTCTGAGTACAGTAGCATGGACGTAATATTGGCATAATGTTGATTGTTGGCATAATCAACAAGAAGAAATTTAAGTTTACTGTCTGTGAGGTAACCATTCTCTTTGAAGCAAATAAATTGAAAACCTCTTTGAAATCATCATATTCTAAAATACAGCTTTTATTATTATTTCTTAATTTCTGCAGCACTGTAATTTACTTGTTTTTTTTTTTAACATTGCCTTGCTTCCTTTTCAGCTTCATTTCTTCCTAGAGCTGGTTTACTATTTTATCAGTGAATTTTTCTGACAAAACATTAGAAGCCAAAAGGTATAACTGTTGCATGTGAAATACTCACTAAATCTGAAAGTGTAGTTCATATCTTCATATCTTGAGCTATTGTGCAAATGCATGCTGGTCTTCAAAACTGCTTTTCTAAATCTATTCCCCACCCCGTGTTTTTAGCAATTTTTATCTAGAGCAAAGATGATCCAGGATTTCATTTCCTTCCCACATAAATGTGTAATCTTCAAGTTTTAAAAAACCCTAATGCCTATTCTGAAAAGGGTATCTAGACTCAGTAGTTTAGTTTTGTTTTCTGTGTAAAGAATGAAGGGAGTTTCTTGCATTAGGGTCATGTTAAATTGTTGTAATTCTGGATTTAAAGGATTTTACCCAATGAAGAAATTCAACAACATAGATTTAACGTGTCATATCTCATGTTAAAGGCAGTCTTTGCAATGGGAAGAGATTATAGCATGATACATTTTTTGTATTGTTTTGGAACCCACATAGGAAAGTCTCACATGTGCCTGCAGTCTGTGAAGCTTTTAAACATGTCAGTAATGTTGGTCAGATTCTTTCAGTAAGACAATGAATTTGATTTTGTATGGATAAAGTGATGTTAAACTTAACTGAGATTTAATAGCAATTGGAAAACACTAGCTGTATAGCCTGATAAATGTCTTCAAACAGAAATATGACTTTTACAGAAGAGTCAAACAATCATTTGAAGACAAAGGATCCTTTAATATTAAGGGGAAATAATCTGTATTTGGCTAGCTGTGCCAGACAATGAAGTCACACATTAGCAAACAATCTGAAATTATTTTTTAAAATGATGAATCTATAGTTTGACAGTTGTAACCACAGTTCTAGCAGCAGACACAATTACAACCTTTTTTGTGTGTTCCCTCACTCACCACATGTGGCACAACCACCTTAAGGAAAATGCAACCTCATTTTATTCACAATGACTGTTACCTGATGGTTTCCTGATATAAAAAGCGCCCTTTGACTTAATTCTTGTATTTCAGCAATGAAAGAGTTCTTAACCCTCACTCTCTAATTTAAAGAGGGAATAGATTTGTCCAAGATTCTATGTTAAGGCAAAATTTATGTGCAACAAATCGATGCAGTTACACTACATACTGTAAGATATTTGAACTGTGAAATACCGGGCAAAATCCTTAGGACACAGCAAAAGATTTTAAATTCACGAGAGCGGTAGTTGAGTCAATCCTTCAGATGCCAGTCATCAGGCATGGGGCTGCATGCTCAGTTCTTACCTTTGCTCCCCAAGTCTGTATTAATAACTTTTACATACAACGTTGTACAATTTATTTGCTAAAGGATAGCTAGTCTTTCACTTGACAGAAGCAACACATCAGATACTGACTGCTGGGAAATTCTTTCAAAAACTATTAATTTTTATTTCTGAAATCCAGCTCTCATTCCCCAGGCTCCACAGGGTTAAACAAAGGAAACATTTTCAAACAAAATCTGCAAAACATAAAACATTCTGGTCCAGCATCCAAGTATGCACAGAAATGGTTTTATACAGGTTACAAAACAGCTGATCTTTTTCGTTTCCCCCCCAATATATTCTTACACCGGAAACCCTGTAATAATACTCTAGAACTTCAACAGAATTATATTTTAACTTTTTAAAGAGGGAAAAAAAAGAAGGGAATTTTTAATTTCTAATCTCCACCCCACCTTTCCAGTATGGTGGCACTGTTATTTCTAGTTAAGTGAGGGCATTGCTTGCCTTTATATTGAAGGTTTCGTTCAATAGGGTCTTCTAAAAGAGACCTTGTGTTATTTCCAGTTTTACAACAGTTTCTCTAAAATAGTTCTGCCAATTTTTAATTGCAACTTCTATACATTTTCTGTAACTATAAGGATTTTAAAGTTGATTTTAAAGCAGCAGAAAAAAATGTAACAACAGATAAAGCAGATTTCTGCTTGTGTGCCATCGATTAAGCTAATAAAGAGTATTATAACCAAGGCATCTTTTCTACAAGTGAGTAATTTGGATTACAAGAATTATTAATAAGAGTAATTATTAATAAGAATAAGATTTTCCTTATTATTAAATTCCACACTATACCCAGCTTTATAATTTAATATTCTTAGTATTCTATTGCCATACTTTTCTTTCCATTTCAGCACAGCTTTAGTAAATAAAAATATATGCTCAGATATTTACTTCTGGTCTGTCATACTATATGTATATTTAAAACTAATACAAAATGTAAAAATAAAACAAGTATTTTCAATGTACATAACATTTAAATAATTTCAATACATTTGCTGTTTGCTCCTTATAAACCCTTTGTTTAAAAAAAAAAAAATTATAAATACATTTTAGCTTCCAGTGAAAGTATAAGGGGGGCAGTTGCCAAAGATGAAATTATTATTAGAAAATATAATTTTACAATCTAGATATTCAAACCTATCTAAACAAAACATTAGTAAACATCTTCATACTTCTATTAAAGCACAATAACTCATGGCTGAAAAAAATAATCTAAGCACATTTTAAATTTTACCTTTGCTATAGAATCCTGTGTGTAACAATTAGTTAAAATTAAAAAGGGGGACACAATGTGTGAAACAGCCACAGGATTCCAGTCACTCTACAAACAGGTTGCAGTGGCTATCAATAAAGTCATTCTATTATTATGTATTTGAAAGTGTGTTTATGGATTTCACAGTTTGTTATCAATATTTCGATAACGTGCAGATAGTTGCTTACTCCCTTTACAAGGCATCTGTTTACACAGAGTTGACTGAAATATGTCTCTATTGTCTGACAACACTACCTTTATTTAAAAAAAGACATGGCTGTCTATGAAGTTAGGACTTTATTTTTTTTCTTTGGATTCTCAAATAACTCTTTCTTTGGATTATCAACAAACATTTGTATAGAAATCCTTCTCTTGTTCTCATTTTACAATTTTCAAAGTCCAAGTAATTGCCCTTCAGAAAGGGTCAACTGCCATCTTTCTGTCCTTTGACAATCAAAGTTAAATCAGTATTAACCCCTCGAGTGTTATTTTAAGCACTACAAAGTACAGAGGAAAACATCTCATCAAAATGGGTTAAGTCGTATTCCTGTTCCTAGTGGTGAAAAAGGATTCACTTTCGCCCACATCAAAGCATCATTCAGTGAAATAGCAGATTTTCCATCTTCAAGGAAGAACACTGGACCCTGTACAGCAAAAATGTTTGGGGAGGGAAAGAAAAAGAAAGTATTGTGTGAAGGCTACCATAACAGAAAGCATATTTTGCTTTATCTGAGAAGAACGCGAAACCTTGATTTACAGCTATCATCTACATTCATATAAAAATTGTATCCCACCAACTTAGAGCTTTGATAATACTTAGACATTATAAATTGAGTGAACTTGCTATGTTCCAAAATCTGAAGACCTTAAATTTTTAGTGTGATTTTTAATAACTGTGGTATTTTATATATGTTTGCCAATTATTGCACCGTTAAATTCAGCCTAAACTAGAAACTGAGGTAACAAGATTTTTTCCTTCAAAATACTGTACATATTTCATTGTGTCTGTCATTATCTGTGCTGATCTGTGTTCCCCCCTCTACAAAAAAAAACAATATAATGCCTCCATGAATTATTTGAAAACATGGAGTCTACATGCAGTCTATAGAATAATTTCAAATGTTTACTAGGAAAAGCACAAAATACTAATTCATCTGATGGAAGAAGACCTATTGCTAATCTCTTCATTTGACAAAACATAGTTTCAAAGCTGCAATTCAATTTATGTGCCACCTTAAAGAGTTAAGCTCTCTGAACTCGCTACTTAAAACTTGTAAACCCATGGAATTAGGCTACTATACCTTAGTATTAACTGATTTGTGAGCTGATCTAAAGCAATGACTCCTAACGTTCACTAATCCAGAAATAAGGACATAGTAGATGACAAGCTGGTGACGCTGTATTTGATGTTCTTGAATGGATTATTACAATGGCAGCTTTACATGGCCATTAGCAACTGTTGAGAGTGCAGCCATAGCCAGAGACCATTGGTCTAACGTGGAAGTCTTGACGGCAAGTTTTTCTAGACTTGATGGTGTGCAGCTGTGAATTTTGTTTACCTCAAAACTCCTGCTAGCATTTCGCAATCTCCAATTTCTGATGCAAAACGACCCCTCTTAATCCCCAAACAACCCTGTTACTCTTTGGGCTGGCATCTTGCGCTGGACAGAGGAAAGAGACTCGCCCTCATCTAAGAGAGTAAATTCACACTGAGGCACTGTCTGGAGACAGAGCCTAGAAGAAGTGTTTTCAGGCTCTGTCAATTTCCCCTTTATGGAAATAACAACATATACCAAAGAGGTGTTATAAGGGCTAATATGTTTTGACCATAAAACTCTACATCAGTGATGCATAAATATATTTGAATATTTAATCTTCTAATATCTGGCTTTAATTAATCAGAAATACAAGTTTTATAGTATGCATTTCAATAACAATAAATACTAACAGAATAATGTTAGCATATGGTTGAAGAGAAATAATTTCCCGCTTTTTATTCAAGCTGTGGTGAGGTGGTGAGGCAATAAGATACATGCACTTTAGCCAGAACATCTGACAAAGGAAATCTGTCCCATGGAAATTATAAAGTTTTGGATTGGGAAACTGGGCAATTATTTGATTGGACAGTGCTTCTTTATATAGTTTTCCTTATTTATACAGCAGACGTCAGCGCTTGTCCTCTTTTAACTTCTGCTACTGTGACAACAGGGAAAACATTTTTCCTCCCAAGTGATGGGAGGGACCTTAGATTTATGGCAACACCACAACTTGTCAATGCTATCACTGAGAAAGAACACCTCAGCTCCCTGAAACCGTACCTGTATCCTTAGCCCTGTCAAACAAGAGATGTGAACATCCGAATGACTAGGAAGGTTTGATCCAGTGACATTGTCCGGCCCGACCATTCCTTTCAGGGGCTCCTCCTGTATTCGTGATACAAGCACTGAATACACCGTTCTCTGTGACTCAGATGGTGGGGTGCATGGACATTCATCAGTAGGCCTGTCAACAAAAGACACTTTTTTTACAACTATACATCTTAATTTGTGTTAGAAATTAAGAGCCACGAAGTACTCATTTCATTCATATTCAGATTTTACAAAGGAAATTAATACTGCATTTACAGCCAGACAGTTCAACATTAATTGTCTAATTCACAGTAATTTCATATTTTTCCACCTACTTGTTTAATTGAGTACAAGCTCTCCACGCATCTAGTTCCTCAGAAAGCCGTTCAATTTTCAAAGGTACAGACACTTCCCGTCTTTTTAAAAGCTGACTGAAAAGGAATGCAAATAATTAAAATCCAAATTAATTCTAACAATGAGTATTTTCTTAAAAGAAAAACAAGATAGACAGTAGTAATATAAAACTTTTTTTGATCGGATATAGAAATAACTTTATGGAAATAAATTGATCCTTCACAATAATCACTATATTAAACCTTAGAAATATTAAATTACTGGATATAAAAGTATACCTTTTCATTTAAGTTTGATTTTAATTATCCCTACTTACACCTTCTTATTTAAGCTTGTCTTTAATTAGTTCTTCTCTTTTTCTTTGAGGCCATTCTATATTTCAAGGCTATATGCACTCATTTCTTAATAATGACAACTTTGCTAAAATTAATGACCCATTTTGCCTATATATAGAAGATATGACAAAAACACAGTTAGAGTAACACGGATCAGAACATACTCTGGGACAGCCTTGTTTTACCAGATTACTTTGCAGAGACCAGTTTCAGAACACTTGCAGTAGACGCATTTTCTATTTATCAAAATATAATATGAGAGACAGCTATTACCTGACCTAATTAAGCAAACTTCCATTTGTGTTGGGATGCCTTAAAAATGTCCAGCTGAAGCATGTAAGTGTCCAGTTTTAGATGGGCTGGAATCTAAAAATCTATGAATTCTGAAAATATTGGGCAATCTGAGAAAAAAAAAATTAGAGCAGTATGGTTCTGTGGTTCTTTAAATCCCAGGAAAACTTAAAGCTTGACAGCCAAAGTATCACAAACTGAGTCTCAAAGACAGCTTGTCACTAGTCTATTAATTTCAGTCTCAGAATAGCCCTTCTGTAAAAGTTTATATTTCGTTTTGCTGCTTTCCATATGTAAGTCTGGTGGCTCAGAAAAGAAAAGGAAGAAAGAAACAAATAGTCCTTTTTCCTTTTCCCTATCCTCTCCCTAAGTTTCAGAGATGAGGATGGCTAAGAGGAAAGACGTGCTATTGAGACATCTGATGGAGAGGAGTTGAAAAAGAGGGGCAAACACACAGTTCTAAGACATGTTGAATGTAATTATCCTTGGTAGGCAGTTCTGATAAAATATCAGGAGGTGTAGGTAAGCTCACAATTCTAGTAGGGTGTGAAAGGACTGGACAACATAGATGCAACATTTATTCTTGACGAAGAGATAAATGAGATGAAATTGTTAGGAAAACCACAGTGGTTAGTTAGAGCAGCTAGTTAAGCAGTAACAGCTAGAACAATGCCAAGACAGCTTGCACTATGAAATCAGTGACATCTTGGAGCTGGCCTTGCTACCCAGCAAGTCAGCTGACAAAGCCAAAAGAATTTGACAGTCCCAAATTGTGAAGGAGAAATGGAAATTAGCTGGATAGCAGTGTCATTACTGAACCAGACAGGAAGACTAAACAATCGTGGTTATATTCTGAGGAAGGAATACTGAAGTATTGTATGTAAGCCTATTTTATTTACCAGATAAGATAAAGATTATTGATCTTAATCAGTCTCCTTTCAAGTCCAAGTGGGATCAAGTGGGTTGGGCCAAGCTGGCTTGGGCTGGGTCAAGCCAAGTCTGGTCAAGTCAAGTGGGCTGGGTGAAGTCAAGCCAAGTTTGGCAAAGTCAGGTCAGGTCACGTGAAGTGGGTGAGGTCAAGTCAAGCCAATTGAGTCAGGCTGAGCTGGTTCAAGTCAGTCAAGTCTAGTCAGGTGGGCCTAGTCAGGTCAGGTCAAGCCAGGTGACTGGTTGGGGTTGAGCTGGGCCAAGTGGGCAGGACCAGACCAGGTCAGATCAAGTGGGTCAGGTCAAGTGTATTAATGCCTGGGAACATTAGCTCACTGAGTAACAGAAGGTCAAGCCAGGTTTCTTGGTGGGAATCAAGCTAGTGCCCAGCCACAAACTCTAAATTCAAAGCTTGTCCTTGTTGCTACTGAGCAAGTCTGGGCAACAGAGTTATCAGCAGGAGCAGGGAGGTGATCATTCCCCTGCACTTGGCTTTGGTGAGGCCGCACCTCAAGTACTGTGTCCAGTTTTGGGCCCCTCTCTACAAGAAGGACATTGAGGTGCTGGAGAGGGTACAGAGGCGGGCTACCAAGCTAGTAAAGGATTTGGAGCATGTCTTGTATGAGGAACAGCTGAGGGTTCTGGGGCTGTTTAGCCTGGAGAAGAGATGGCTGAGGGGAGACTTTATTGCTCTCTACAGCTACCTGAAAGGAGGTTGTAGTGAGGTGGGGGTCGGTCTGCGTTCCCTAGTTACAAACGATAGAACAAGGGGCAATGGCCTCAAGCTGCACCAGGGGAGGTTCAGGCTGGATATTAGGAAGAATTTATTTCCCAGCCAGCCCAGGGAGGTGGTGGAGTCACCATCCCTGGAGGTATTAAAAGACGGGTAGATGTTGCACTTAGGGACATGGTTTAGTGGTGTTGGTAGAGCTAGGACAAAGGTTGGACTTGATGATCTTGAAGGTCTCTTCCAACCAAAACTGTTCTATGATTCTATAAAAGGTCTACAAATAGATACAAAATTAGAACTGTTACTGTCAACATATAAACATGCATGGAGGTAATGCTGAATACTCATCTACTTCTAAAAATTGCCTTCCTTACAGAACTAAGAGTTTGACAGAAATCCCGGATTCACAACTTGTTGTACTACCTCAGAAACTTCTATGTGTATAAAGCATAAAGAAAATAAAGAAGGTTCTACACGCAGGCATGCCTATACCCTTATAACTTTATAGCAGAACTGGGAACTCAGATTTCTTTTTTTTTTTTATTTTTGGGGGGGGGGGGGAGGGGCAAATGGGGACAATGTATGGCATACATCATAACAGGGACTGAGATTTCTCAGTGTTACTGAAAACATAGTCTTACCTTGTATACTCATAAAGTGCAGGTACAATGCTATTGTACTGTCTTCTGATAGCAAGTAAAGCACCAATGTAACCACACAAAATCAGCAACTCATTTCGAAATCTATAAATGGACAAGTATTAATCATGAAAAGTAATAAATATTTGCAGAAACATTAAACAAACTCATATTCAAATTATAATTTTAAAACCTAATTTATCCATCCATCTTTTGTGGAGAATATCTGCTGATTATGCTTACTTTCTGCGAGATGTAATTGTTAAAAGAGCTTTATATCTGCTTTATATTGATCTCAATTATAATTGCCCCACATATTAGTGTGGACTTCAGTTGCGCCAGGTTTCCCCACAGGCCAAATATAAGAGTTAAGCTTTTTGCTCCTTTTCTTCAGACATACACCTGTGCAGGCACTCAGGCCTAACATCAACTATCTGTCATAAAGGTAAACCACAGATACTCAACTATTTTAGAGTTAATTCTGAGAGTGACAGCTCAAATTTCCTTAACGCTTTGACATAAAAACCTGTATTATGTGTGATACCACTGCTCTTTTCCTTCAGGTAACTGAAACCAGAGCTGATCAAAGAGAGATTCTTCAAGTAAGACCAACATTGACTCACCCATTGTAAATGCCCCACAGAGAAAGCAGCAGTCAAATATCTTTTTTCTTCTTGCTAAACCTTGAAAATTTAGGAAAACTCCACATTCTCTTCTCCAGATCGGAAACTAGCCTGCTTGCTGAAATTTTTTTGTACCCCTCTTCTGGTAAACAAAACCTGATACTAACAGTGTGCACTTATATTTTTTTTAATTCCAAAAGTTTCCTTTAATGAAAATTACACTTCTATAAGTAAGGAAAATATACTCACTCACTACATTTATGCAACACTAATCGTTCAGTGCGTATGTAACTTAGAAGATCAAGATATGGACAGACTGAATCTAAAGTCCAATCTGAGCCACAAAGTTGTTCTGTTGAAAAATAGAAACAAAAATGTCTCAAGAGGCAAGCTATACAAATGACTTATGCTTTAAAAGGTTTCTTCATCCAAGTACCTACCTTTCACATATTGAATGCCAATAGGGAGAGCCTTTTCAGGTTCTGTGCTTAACAGATAGTACTTTATAGTTTCGAATACATCCCCATCTGCCTGAATTGTCTCTGCCAACCGCATACATTCTTCTACATCAGGAAGATTGCACTGGAAAATAAAGATTTTGCCAAAGAATTATTGTAACGTTCAAACAATTCTCTGACACACAGAAATACTGAAGTTTGTACATAACAATAAGATCAAGCTCTCTCTCAAAGAAGAGTCATTGTTTGAAGGACATACCCGCATATAATGCACATTAAGAAAGCCACCTAGACCAAAGAACAGTGCAGGAGGAGAAGGTTCTGCAACTTTAATTTAAGCAGTACCAGCTTCCATTGCTAATGTTCTTGTGAACATTTTACAATGAGTTGAACCTTAAGGGAGTTAGTGGCGCAGACCCTTCTGCTACTGAAGAGGAAAGGGGGGATTTAAGGAGATTACAGACATAAGGTGTAAAACAATTCAGGACAGTACAGAAAGCTGATCTGCCAGGACATGATTAGGCTGCCCTTCAGTGATGAGGAGGTTATAAATCATACTGACAGGTAATTCTGAAGATCATGAGCTGCTTCAGGAAGTAACCTGTGTCATGGAAAGACTACACACAGAGCAGAATTAAAGAACTAAAGTTCTTCTTGTGCAATACTGAAAATAAAGTCAATGAAGACTAAAAGAGCAAAAAAAGATATGTAACATACAAGACTGTTAGTGACAAATTCATCCTGCAGATTTATTTGGCCTTAAATTTTCTGAAATTAGTAAACAAATAAATACATAACCTCTTGTTAGCATTCAGGTAAATTGTTTTTCATTGTACCTTTTCATGCAGGTCATTTATTTCTGCTACGCATCCAGGATAAAGAGCACATAGTTTTACTAACTGCAGTTTATTATCAGGAATCATCATAAGAAGATCAGCTGCTAAATCCCTGCACAAACAAAAGATGACATACAGTTACTCTTGATGGTTTGTAATAGGAGAAAACTCTGTTTTCTCTTTTACATTCCTTTTACAAAGAAGAGTTTACCGAAAAAATTACTATTTCCAGGGAAGAGCAGAAGCAACCTCAGTCTCTAAGACTACTTTGGTACAATAAATGAGGCTTAATCTACTAATCTTTTTGGGGAAGTCATGTGTTAATTTTCTGCTGCTTTAGTTCATTTGATTAAACAGCTGTGCAACCGTAAAGCATCAGAAGCACCTCAAAGTGAGATGGAACGATACGTGCGCAGGAATGGGAAGGGAGAGTAGGACCTATCCAATTTGAAAGTAGGAAGGATGTTCATGTGTCTCTGTGTCATGAAACCATCCTCAAAATTCCAGGCTTCTAGAGCTCCATGACATCAGCATAAAGCATCTCTCAGCCATCCAGAATGGCCAGTGCTTCTGTGACATTACAAAAGAGAGATTATACAAGAAAATAATGTGATACCTATTTTCATCTTTCTGAAAGGACAACTCTGTTTTACCAAACTGACGTTTTTGAAATATTCCTAACTTTTGACCATTTGTTACCCCCTCCTCAGTGCCACAAGCAGCTAGAGGGAACAGCTTAAAAATCTTCGAGTAAGCTACTGCCCAATATTTGCAACTGTTTTCTACCCCACTTTCAGGTATCGATCACAATTAAAAAACCAGAACACTTAGTTTAAGCTTACTTTTAGCATTAGTAAAGTCACACACTTTTCAAATCTCTCTTTCTATAAACAAGTAAAATACCTGTATCCAAGTGATGGAAAGCTAAAAGGAAGACATTGAGACAGTAATGAACAAAACTGGGTTTTGTATCCTTTACAGAGGAAAAATCTAATAGAAAATAATTGAACTATGACAGCAAATCTAAGTGTTAGGTTAACTGTCTTTAACAAAAAAATAGCTTTCCAATGCCTTTTGACAACACAAAGGAGCTAATGCCAAAAGATTTTTGGAAAATCTGTTATACTATTACTGTACAAAAGCCACTTTTCCAAGTTACAGAAAAGCTCTTTCAGAATATGGGAAATTTCACAAGTTCTTAAACTATTTTCAAGATCAGTTACTCACATGTACACATCTTCATAGGCAATTTAAACATTTTATTAAAGTGATTAGAAATTGCTCAGCGAAAAAAAAAAGTGAAATCAAATGTTTATTTAAAAAAAAATCCAAAGAAGACCTCATATAATGGCCTGCAAGTTGTGTTACCTGAAACGTTTTTTCAAGAATCAAACTGAAAACGCTGTCAGTATAAAGAACAAAATCAGGTGGCTGAGTTTGCATTTGCAGAATTCAGTATCTCAAGTAAAAATCTAGCCTTCTGAATAGCAGAGGGTTGCTTTTAACAGTACTTGGGTGCTAAACACAAATAAAATGAAAATGGTGTTCTTAAACACACACTTTTCCCAAGGCTGTAGATTTGGAAAGATGTGGAAGGGCATGAATGTTTAGTTTTGACTTTTTTGTTTTGATTTTATATTTTAGAGCACTTCTAAAAAACCAACCAAACAAAAAAACCCAACCAAAACCCAAAAAACATTCCACCAATAACTGATTTCATTATTAACCCATCAAGGTCCTTTCGGTATTCCTTGAGGTGTTGGCAATTAAGTATGTCTCTACAATGAGATGTTTCCAATTGATGGATATCCCTAAGCACAACAACCAGCAAAACCAAAAAAAGGGAGCCCTCTTCTGATATCAGATGCCCTTGAACTCCAGCTTCCCCATACATGACCTCACACATGCAGCGGACCAAGGGGTATTATGGTATGCCAGTATTTCTTTATTACAAAATATGAGGAGCTTCAGGAATCTCTGATCTTTTCCTACAGAACAGAAAATATTTTGTACTGGCTGCAAATCAGAATCCAGGATTGCAGGGTGTAGCTGTAATAGGTGTTCAGTACAGCAGCATATGAAACCCACTGACAAATCCAGATGTATATTTGGGCAATATGCAGTACACCAATTGACAATTTTATCACGTATACCCACGTAACTTCAGTATCCACATGCCATAAGTTTGCAGAAGTTTATGTCATTACACATAGATGCCATACTATTACAAGTACTTGTTACAGCACTGAGATCACTACAAGCTTTTGTTACAGAACTGGAAAAAATACACACTTTTTTTGACTCCATGTCCAGTGCTCCCTATCAGAGGCTACATAAAAATCACTCTTCACAATGAAGGCAGGGAGATCAGATCAGAGACTTTAAAAGCTGCAGATGGAGTTGCCAAAACAACCCTGTTAGAACTGGTGCAATGCAGACATGCTAAATCATTGCAAAACCAAAGCAGCAAGTCATCCATTCCTTATTTTATATTTTTGTACAATGCTTCATTGTCTAAGGCAGGCTAAACTCTCTGTAGAGAGGAGTTACACTATGTTTCGTTCAGGCTACCTCCAAATACTTAAGCAAATACCAACTGTAGCAGAAAAACTGATGCTTAATTGTAATAATCTGTTTAAGCACACGTTTCCTACAAAATGTGACTTCTTAAACACCTGTACAGCTGCTAAATATACCTTGGGAAGACTTTCTGCTTTTCGCTGGTAGAAAAGAACCAGACCAAAGGAAAACTACTACAAGGAGGAAAAGAAAACTTAGCTGAGATAAAGTTTCCCCTACACGCAACAGAGAAATTACTTACTCCTGCAGAACTAAATAGTAAACCTGTTTCATCCTTAAATCTTGTCAGATTTCTTGTATTCCCAATACCAATATAAAATAATTCCCCAATCTCTTAGGTTTTTATATTTTTCAAGCAAGTACTTAAAAATCTCTTCACAGATCCTACTTAAGCTTCTGTTCCTTTAAAATACAATTCTAGCCTTACTCTGTTTGAAGCAGTCATTTTTACTCAGTACAGACTAGGACTTACTATGCTACCTATTGCCCAAGTACCTAGGGGTTTTTTCAGTGGGTTTCATACCCTGTTCGAAAATGACTCTTTGCTCATTTACAAAGCATCCATAATATATTTTGAGATTAAAGAACATTTGCATGCCCTGTACTGCAAAGGTCCGCTATCGCAATTCTTATTCAGGCAGAAATTCTTATTCTAGCTACCCATGGCTTGGAGTCTACAAAAATTTCATGTTGAAAAACCTTTATCATTTTTTTTGGGGGGGGGTGGGGGGGAATCTTCTTTGGATTAAGAAATTCTTACCATGTTGTTACTGTCATACATTTTCTTGCTAGTAATTCTAGAGCATAATGTGTTGCTTGTGCTGCACTTTCTCCTAAGACAGTACCCACACTGATTGCCAACTCCAGTTCGTTTCCACGAATCAGGTTTGCCATCGCAAGCTTGCTCAATGAAAAAATTACATCATTAAGGGACACAAGCATTTCTGGGGATTCACCACGTTGAGCATATGACATTCATTTATGAGACTGCTTTTTACAGAAGGACAAAATATGCATTAATTAAACTAACTTTATATATAATTTGGGTCTCTTGAACGAGTAAATAATTGTGCACCACGTGTTAATCAGTGTTTAAATAACCAAATAGATCTCCTTTAGCAGAACCTCCCTTTAGTCAACCAAAGAGATTACATAAATATCATACCGAAAAAGCATGATAGCAATTCCTTCTAGCCTCAAGTAAGGGCACTAGCTTTCAGAGGACGTATTTCCCCTCTCTTTTGATGAAAGGACACCCAAACAAACCAGGGAAGCCTCTCCTGTTCTTACACAGTCCGGGCAACTGATTTGCTGATATGAGTTGCTGATAGGCATAGCAGAATAGTAAACAGCAAGAGACTACACAACAACTTGAAACATGTCTATTTTGAAATACAAGCATTAACTGATTATTGCTTTCTCTCTGAACAGCTCATTAAGATGGAATTTTACTCATTTGAGGGGATAGAGGAGGAAGAACATGTTGAGTGAGAAACAAAAAGAAACAGTTTGTAAAACCACAAGCAAAATGAAAAATCTAGTAAAATGTTTCCTACATGTCAGCCCTATTTCAAAAGGAGGGGTAGGGCTTTTTTCCTATTTACTTCATCATCTAGTCTGCAATTCTTCAAGGCAGAGATTGCAAGCTTGCATCTTTTGTAGCACAATGAAGTTCCAGTTCTGAATGGGTCTTTTGAGTCACCATCAACAGTAATACTTATGTGTATATGTAAGGTACTTAGGTACCTTATATTTTCTAACATAACAAGATACCCTGTATATGAAAATACAATTAAATAGTAACATACTACTTCCTGTGCATGAGCGAAATCTTGAATTTAATAGAAGCAGGGGAGATTTGCTAACTTCAATACTGTAAGGATCAAACTATAAATATATACAAAGCAAGTATCAAGTATAGGTAATACATTTTAGAATGTGGTACATACATTTTAAAAATCAGTTAAGATGTGGAGATGTAAAAGGTAAGTCAATGTTGGCCTTTCCATAGTCAAAGAGAAAAAAAAGAAATTACCTCTATGTTTTCCACAGCCAGATGGCAACATGCTGCAAGCACTGCATGGCCATCCTGGAAATACCATTCTGCCAGTTCATTACTGACCTTGTGCAGAAGCCTGCAAGAACAAAATATAAATCTTGCAAGGCCACTTTAAGGTTGGAGTTCTCTGGCTTTTAATTTATGTACAAGTCACAATATTTGCTTCTGTACCCTAAAATTTCTGTATTTGACTTACAAGTAATGACACCACTAGCTTTCAAAATGCAATCAGTCTGAGCTTCATCCACCATTTATGTTGGTGCATATTCAGGTGGGTCCGTCTCCCAAAATCTACATCAGTATGAAAATGCCTCTTCAGATTGACAGAAGAAAAAAAATCAGATAGATGGATATTCATTCTGTACCTGTGAACTCTGCATAAATATATCTCTAATTGCTCAAAAATTGCACATGTAATCAAGTGACCACACAGCCTCCAAGCTGCTTTTGTTACTACACATATAAGATGATAACACAATTTAGGTTTTTGAGCACTGTTCTAAACAAGGAGAGATGCATGGTTTCTTTTACGGGCACATACGATGAAAATATGGCCATTCGTGTACATTGTCAGAAACCTCACTGATGATAAACAGCAAAGCTTCAAGAGCAGAAGATGCATAAAATAGGGTCTCACAGATACTTGTTAATGCTCAACCTTACACTACTTACCAAAAGTTCTAATTTAATATGCTACATATTGAAACATATTTAAGTCCATAGGAACGCACTTTAAGTATCAAGCAGATGAAAAGGATATTTATAATTACAATACCTACATATGAACAACCCATTCGGTGCCAGAAGGAGGCATTATTCAGTGTAGCATCAGTCAGTAATTCTATCAACTGAGTTCTAGAAGATGTCATACTTCGTTGTCAAATTCTACATTGCTGATGCCAATTAAACAACTAAGGTTTATCTCCTTTGGTAACTTTATGTTCTGCACTAAAATGAGACTTTGGATATAAACTAGAACAGCTTACTCGTTATAATCATCTGTATTGTTTCCACCAGAATCTGAAGATCCACTTGTGGAGAGTGGTGATGTCTGTATATTTCCCTCACAAGCTGCCTAGAAATGAAAAATAAAAGGATTAATTAATTCACCAATCAAACAGAACAGGAAATGTGATTTTTCAACAACAACAAAAATAAACTAAGATTTATAAAAATCCCTCTAAAGCCCAGTTATAACAAAGAAAATGTTTAAACCAATGAACGTATTCATAGCTAAATCTTGGCCTAGTTTTATCCATCCACGAGAAATTCTACAGCAGCAGTAAGAGACCTCTTCCTTCCTATGCATTTGGTACAGGATTTTTCCAGCATTTGAATACACTTAAAATGGACAGTGGGGCTACAACCTTGATTTTTACACTCTAAGGAGCAAGTCGCTGTGAGTGAAGGATGAACTCCACAGATACTCCTCAGCTGGTATACCAGCAAATCTGGAAAGGTTTGGAAAGGTTTATATAGTGGCACAAGCTGAATCTTTTTTGTGTCTGGTAATACATTATTTCTTACATTAAATGACAAGAGATCAACATGGTTTAAAAGGAAATTCTTTCATGTCCTTTAAGGTGTAGCTGGGATAACAACATCAAAACTCAGGTCTCAGGTAAAAGGGAAGGTAAGTCCTGGTGTTTTATTGCTTAATATTACCTAATTAAACCCTTGAGACAAAGACTATTCTATGAATTGTCAACCTCTGCAATATCTCTCTTGCAAGAAAAATGAGAACTTTCTAAAGCTTTAAGGTGCTTTAAGGTTCAAACATTTTAACTTGTTAAATTTAAGCATACCTCAGAGTTCCATTCTGTGCACTATTCAGCTACTGTTAGAAGAACAACAGCATACAGATAGACAATTTCTAAGGGTCAAATTCATATGCATTGTTGAAGTTCTTATCTCTGAGGCAATGGAACGTTCAAGGACAGGTAGGCATGAGAGAATGAACCAGGGACAAATCTCGACAGTTTATTTAACAAACTATATTAAGTATGCAAAAATTACTCAAAAAGAACAAAGGAATAGCAAGAAAGAGTGAAACAAAGTATCAGTTCTCACCTGTTTTCTGCACCCTTTGTGTTTACATTAGGAAGCAGAAGGAACATACGTGCTTTTGGTAATCTCTTGTACTGTTTCTTGCATTAATTTGAAAGTCTGATTTCCCATTTTGATTACTACTGCAACCAAGCAGTTTCACCCAAAGATTCTATAGGAAGTAGTATAAGCAAGACCTCAGGAGAAATACAGGAGAAATCCTACATGTCTTTGACGTTAAGAGCAATACTTACTGCTGACAATCAAGTTAGTTTTCTACTTCAACCAAAACCGAATACATCAGTATTCATTATGGGAATCTGATTGTAATTTAGAAGAATCAGGCTTAAAATTTGTGAACACGAGATACCTTTTTATGATTTCTGCATAAAAACTGGTCAATACAATATGAAAGTAAAGAGTAGGGTATCATTACTTAGCTGTTTTGCAGAAGTGAACAGAGCTAGCCTTTTAAGTATGCTTGTCATCTGCCCAGTTAGAAACAAATAGCTAAATACATCTCCCACACTGTTATATGTAATAGTACCTGTGCAACAAGAAGAGCCTCTTTAAGCTGACCTCTTGAAGTAAAGAAAGAAACTAGTTTCTTCACATCTCCAATAGCTATACAGTATGGGATGACATCATCATTTTCTTCCTGAATTAACTGATCAGCTCTCCTAATTAAACAAATGAATAAATAAATAAGAAAGATCTACATATATAATTGATCACTAAACTGATCTCTATGATATAGGCGTTAGATGAAGCCATATAATGTTCACTGAAACCCATCTGCCTTTCCAGAGCTCAGAAGACTTGCAAACAGTGGATACTGCACTAAGAAGTTTCCAGTTAAAAGCTGCAATTTATGCTCAACCTTGAGTCCTGTTTGCAAAGTCTATGTTGAAATCCTCAACAGTTCCATCCCAAAGGTTACTGAACAAAAAGTAACATCACCAGAATGCTGTAACAAAAGCCAAGTACAACTGATAATTAGCACCCAACCTTCCTACTTGTCCATGCCCTCTTATGGACAGAAGCTATAATTCAGCATCATATTTTTATTACCTTACCTTTCCATTAATTTCCTCCAATATTTCATTGATACACCAGGTGCAACTGAAAGAGCTTTGTCCCACTAGAAGAAAACAGCAATACATTTATCTTGATCATTTTATTTTGAGAAACAGCTGTATTTTTAACTAGTTTCATGTTTCTTCCATTAAAAATAAATTTGTCAAGAGGTTAAATAAGGAATGAGCTATGCATTAGACTGCATATGTTAAAAATAATATAATTGTAGCAAGATTGCTCTTTTCTGGACTTGTAACCCACTCTGTTGCTACCCCATTTTTGCTAGGGTAGCTGGTTTTCAGAAACCTTGTTCTTCTATAATGTTCTGAAATTTTACCTCTCCAAGTTCTACCATTAGTTCACAATATCGCTGAACTTGTCCTAATCTTAAATGTATTTCTGCAGCTTCTTTAAGCCTCTCCTCTTTGCTTGGTGCACCAATACCACCTCCAAACTTGGACATTTTTACTGTTGTCAGTTCTTGTGCCTTGGACTGAGAGGAAAAAAAGATAAAAAAAGTTTAAAAAAGAAAGTACAGTCTTCTGTGATGAAAACAAGTTTTCTTAAGAATGAACAAGCATCAAACATTACAATGGAATATAAAGGCTATCATTTAAGAAAAAAGTCCTCTTGAGAAAAAGCTAATTGGAAGAGATTACAATGAGATTACAGTGAACTAATTAGAAGAGCTTACAATGAGATTACAGTGAACTATTTATATTCTTAAAGTAACTGTGTTGGTGTTTTGTTGCACATGTACATTTTCCTCAATTATCTTCCTTTAATCTTTTATATATTTTTTTAATTCTCAAACATTTTCTCATATGTCACAGTAATTCACCCAGATATCCACCATAAAAATCTTGATATTTTTGAAATTAAAAAAAATAATTGTGAACATAACTGACACAGAGCTGGAAATTGTACTTATCACCATTATACTAATGTCTACATAAAGGAAGAATGAAGACAGTAGGCTCAACCTGTGTCCTGATCTGTCATATGCCATTAACCTTATGACCAATAAATAATTTCTATTCCAAGCACCGCAATTTTTATATTAGTTGAAGAGGTAAGACTAAATTTCTCCATCCGTGACAGTTTGAGAAACAAGCTGCCACAGGAACACATTTAACATTAAAAAAAATAACAGCAAAAGGAGCTTCACATTTCAAGAATTCTCAGTTTATCATCAATGCACATGAGACGGTGTTTGACTATTCATGGCTTTACAATACCATATATGGTGGATGAAGAACAAATTTCGAACATTCTTCACCAAAGCAAGCTGCAATGTAGACCAATGGGAGCTGCTGAGAAAGGCAAAGGATCTCTTTTTTTAACTATGTTAGTTTTTTTACTTAGCATCTCTATCTTTTTTATTTTTCAGTGCTGAAATCTCCAATGTATCCTCTCTGTTTGCTAGAAAAACAAAACGCACACTGCTCTAAGTTCCTACTTCATCCTGAAATGTCTAAGTGCTGCAATGCCATTATCCAGTTTCCTAAGGAAAACACAGTATTAGCAGCCGTACACAAGCAGCCAGTCCCACCCTACCCCTACTTTCTCTTAAAGCTCTCAAGCAAGATTCTGAGTCAGCAAAAAGGGGATAAAATCAGAGAATCACAGAACATTAGGGGTTGGAAGGGGCCTCAAAAGATCATCTAGTCCAACCCCCCTGCCAGAGCAGGACCACCTAGAGTAGATCACACCGGAACGCGCCCAGGTGGGTTTTGAGTATCTCCAGAGGAGGAGACTCCACAACCTCTCTGGGCAGCCTGTTCCAATGCTCTGTCACACTCAGTGAAAAAGTTTTTCATGATGTTAATGTGGAACCTCCTGTGCTTCAGCTTGCACCCATTGCCCCTTGTCCTATTGTTGGCTATCACCGAGAAGAGCCCGGCTCCATCCTCCTGACACTCGTCCTTTACGTATTTATAAACATTAATGAGGTCTTGTAATGAATGTGACCACTTAAACCAGATCCACAGAATGACCAGCAAGTACTGTAGTTACTCTAGGTCACTCAAGTTACAAATGCATGAAATCATGTTGCAGGGATAAACAGTGACTCAAGAATTAATGTCGTTTCCTCAGGCTAACAGGCTGAGAAGACACACAGCTTCATAGTATTAGCAGAGCAGCTGCTACGATTACCGTTAACATCACCAATAAAAAACTTCCATCACTTAAAGAGTCAGAAAGTATGTAGGACACTCTTAAAGAGCCTGTGATTTTGCAAAAGAGACAGCCTGCAACAGCAAACTACTCGTGATACCTGGCAGGTATTTAGGCCTGGGAGTGGCACATGGGGAGTTATGCATCTCCTGATCCCCAACAATAGACAATCTTTCCTCTATTTCCCACCCAGTCATTACAGTATGAGATTCTTTAGTATCCCTGGGTCCCTGACAGAACCATGTATGCCCATATTCTGCACAAATTGTACGTCTGGTTGCATATTCATATATGCAGCTGCTAATAAATGTATGGCCTAGTACTTGAATTTCACATTCACATCTGCGTCATTCTTCAGCTGCGTATCTGTATCAATGACAGGTTCTTGTTTCTCCACTCCTTCTTCCAGACAGCTACAGAGCATATTTCGCTCTCCTCCACTTTCAGACATGAATTCCCCTGTCACTGCATCTGAACGTAACCACAAACTTCATGTTTATACAACCAAGTAATTTGACTTTACTGAATATAAAAGTACAATATATATAATAGCAAAGACAAACTCACTTCATAGCTCAAGCTGTAGTGATGCCTGCTTTGCAATTTTGTGTCATTATTTTGAAAACTGCTTTTCTAGTGAATAACCGTAACCCAGCATTTTAATACTGACTATGCATGAATTCACACAGACTTAGTTAGATGCTATTGTTCTAACAGACTCATACTGCACAGAGAACTGATACTGCACAAATATTTTTAGGCATGAAATAATTTGTGACCCTTTTGTAAAGCATTAAATGTTATTTTTAAGGAGTGAAATACCATGTGGATTAACAACTACTTTCACATGCCGTTTATGCTTCACTTACCATTCTAAATCTAATGAGATGTTTCATATGCATAATTCCTTTGCAGTAGTTTTGTGGAAGCAAACTGTCGTCCTGTCCTTTTATCACAGCAACCAAATCCCATAAATTTTTGCTGCCTCCTGGAGGCTAAAATTGTTAGTGAAGAAAAGAGTTCTATTACAGTGATGATCAAGAGAGAAACTTGAACTTATAAAGACACTGGAAAACATTTGTCAGTCAATTCCAGGAAATACAATTTCAGACCATTTCAATATTAGAAGCTTTACTATGAAGACATGGATTAGTTCACAATACAACTCCTTCAGTCTTCTTGAAGGCTCTGAACATACCACAACATCCACGAACATTCAGTATTTGGTTACGTGCGGACATAGTTGAGGGCTCGCCGTTAAAGAGTTTTCCCTTTTGCTCCCAAAGAACTACAAGTTATCTGGTGGCTACTGCTGGCATAAAACAACATTCAGCTGCTGGGATGCAGGAGCTGCCCCAGTACTGGTTTACCAGTTTCTGTAAAGCAAGGTCTAGGTCAGGTTAAAAAAACAACTTCAAGGCTTGACTGACACAATCTGGTTTACTATTTTAATATTACGTCTTAAAATAGACACATATGGTATAGCTGTATATGCACAAAATCTTGCAGGCCATCAAGGCAAATTTTAAAAAATAAATTTTAAGCATTTTTATTGGTCTAACACTTGACTCAATCCTTCTGTAGAACTAAGACAATGGTTTAACATTAAATGAGGTCTAGAAGACAATGAGTAATTAAAAACTTAAAAAAAAAATTAAAAATCATTAAACCTTTGACCTGAAGGAGCTTTTCTAATAATAACAACAGGATCACAAATTTCTAAGTCAAATTATTTCTGAGCTGGTAAAAAGCAGAAGATCCTACTAGAAAAAAAAAGAGACTATTCCCCTCTTTTTTCAATCCCTTAAAACTCTTACTTGACTCCCCATATTTTAAGCACAATACTGTTTTCTGGACTCAAAAAGCACTGAACACAGCTGAACAGCTGTTCAAAAGAAATTTTGGTTTTTGGAAAATTCTAATATTCTTAAACAGTTTCACTCTCAAATCAACACGGGACATCAAAATTTATAACTTCTATAAAACAAGGAATTCCATTAAAATATATTTGTTAAAACAACCTGGAAATGTCAATATTTGTAATTGAGAAAGATTTGTTCAGCATTTCTAAATCATACGCTTAAATATAGATAGAAATCAAAACAAATATTTTGGATGAACAAGGTCTTTGTAGATCATGTATTGACTTAAATTACAACAGTGCTTGAAACAAGCTATAGTTCCAGGTCTTTTTTGTCTTGTTCTACACCTCAGGTTCAGCTCCTCTGCAGGTAAGCACTCACAGGGACCCAGTAGTTTATGTTTTTAACTCGATCGCACAGAAAGGCTGCAGTGATTTATAGGAAATATCACTATGCAATGGAGCAAAGTCAACAGATGGATGGATACTGGGGCATGGGTCTTCCAGATCTACAGCTCCTAGAAAGTAATACAGCAGTTTTGGCACAGCCACTCGGGCAGTTCAAAACTTATCTGTAATGAGGGTGGATTAAAATTAAGAACCTTTGATGGATTAAAATTAAAAACTCCAATGCAGTTTCATAAAATGCATCTTTTTATTCTTTTCAATAGAAAATTCTTGTCACATCAAACCTTTCCTATGGAAAATTAAATTATCCCACCCACTTCACTTCGTGAAAAATCAGTGTTCACAACTGACAAACAATTCAGTCCTGGACATTTTTACATGCAGAACTGTTAATTCATTTCTGCATATTTTCTGAGCTCCCTTTAAGAAAGGGAGAAAAAAAAAATGGTAGAGAAGAAAGAAATTTCAGTTTTGGAGACTGACTTCAGAAAAGAAAGTCATGCACACTGACAACATCCTTACGTTTGCAGAATACTTACTGAAAAACATTCTGAAAACCACCTTAGTTTTTTTCCTCGAGGATTTCCTGTCAATTTTTCCACTTCTTGTTTAATATCCCTGGAAACTTTACCACACAGCAATGGAGGAACACCAGATTCCACAGCACGATCTAACACACACAAAGATTTATATATGAAAATTAAAAAAAAAAAAAGTACTATAGTAACATACAGAAAACTAAACCAACAGTACATACAATTTACTTACCTGTATTACCGATAATCTCATCCCAACATCTATCTGTCAGGATATTTATTTGTAGAGGGTTTATAAGAGGTGTCAATGACCAGAGTCTCACAGTGGAGTCACGAGAGCAAGATGCCATAGTAAATGGACGACTAGGATGACATGTTAATCCTAGTAGAGAGGGCATTTAAAAATGTAGTCAAATAAGTTTATCTAAGAATCAGTTGGATTAAATTATTTTATATATTTTAAAACATTTTAAAATGCATTTCAATATAGAAATAAAACAAAATTTTAAAATATTACCATATACATCTGCACCATGATCATAAACTGTGTCCAAACATGTTCCATCTCTGGTGTCCCAGACTCGAATTGTATAGTCCCAACTGCCGGATATCAGAAGGTAAGGAATTTCAGGATTCCACATCAGTCCCCGTACTGGAGCTGTATGTCCACTAAGAACATTTATACAAGCATCCTGTGTATAATCCCATATTCGAACAGTACTGAAATAGGATAAGAGACATATGTCCATCAAATCACCTACTAAAATATGATTATGTCTCTACTTCAGCAATAGTCTAAGTTTCAAATTTATCAGAATATTTATTTGCAATATGTTTACAGAAGTTGTAATAGGAGAGGTTGGAGCCAATGCCCTTTGTGTTTAGGATGGGGTACAAGACACACCAAAGACAGTTCACCAGAGTAAGAAACTATTCCATCCACCGTATAGTCTTTCACAATCTCACATGCACCATTATCTTACATGTCAGTAAGAGAAAGTAAGATTGGCCATACACCTGCATGTGTAATAAATTTGTCTGTTAGGACAACCCACCTCACTGTCCACCCATCTATCCCACACTTCCTAACCTTACCTATGAGAATGTGATGGGAGACAGTGTTAAAAGCCTTGCTGAAGTCAAGGCAGACAACATCCACTGCTCTCTCCTCGTCTACCCAGCCAGTCATGCCATCACAGAAGGCTATCAGACTGGTCAGGCATGATTTCCCCTTAGTGAATCCACGCTGACTACTCCTGCTAATCATCTTTTCCTCCATGTGCTTTGAGATAACAGCCAGAACGAGCTGTTCCATCACCCTCCCAGGGATGGAGGTGAGACTGACTAGCTGTAGTTTTCCAGGTCCTCCTTCTTGCCCTTCTTGAAGACTGGAGTTACATTTGCTATCCTCCAGTCCTCAGGCACCTCTCCTGTCTTCTACAACCTTCCAAAGACAATGGAGAGTGGCTTTGCAATGGCATCCACCAGCTCCCTCAGCACTTGTGCATGCATCCCATCAGGGCCCATGGATTTGTGAGTGTCTAGTTTACCTAAAAGATCCCTAACCCAATCCTCCTCGACCAAGGACTAAGCCTCCCTTCTTCTGACTCCTTCTTCTACTGCTCTAGGTTAATCTGCTTTGGCAGGGGAATTGGACCAGATGATCTCCAGGGGTCCCTTCCAACTCCTACCATTCTGTAATTCTGTGACTCTCAAGGGGAAATAATGAAAAAAAAAACAAAGCAAAACTGTAAGATCTATCTTTCCTATGGCTTTAACAGACCCAGAAAACTACAGATCTGCTAGTCTAACCTCAGTTCCTGGAAAAATTATGAAGATCATACTGGGTACTACTGAAAGGCACTTAAAGAATAACGCAATCATTAGGCACAGGCACAGTCAACCTGGGTTCACAAAGGCAAGGTCCTGTTCAACTAATTTGATATTCTTCTATGATAAGGTCACCCACCCAGTGGATGAAGCGAAGTGGTGGATATAGTTTTTCTGGATTTTAGTAAGGCTTTTGATAGTGTCCCTCACAGCATCCTTCTGGGAAAGTTCTTCAGTGGTGGGATAAGCAGGTTCATGGTGCACTGGGTGAAGAACTGGCAGAAGGGCAGGGCTCAAAGTGTAGTAGCAAATAGGTCTACATCTGGCTGGTGACTGGTCACCAGTGGCGTTCCTCAGGGTTCAATTCTAGGGCCAGTTCTGTTCAATATATTTATCAACGATCCGGACACAGGAGTTGAATGCACTATTAGCAAGTTTGTCAATGATACCAAACTGGGAGGTGCTGTTGACTT